TTGTATGAAATAGCTGCAGCTCTGTCAGTAAACTCCAGTGTACAGAAAGTCTTTTTATTACATCTATTTTCTAAAATTTCTTTCTTTAATTTTTTGAGACAAGTTGGTACTATATTGCCCACACCCTCCTCAGACTTTCAGTCTTCCTGATTCAGCCTCTTGAATAGCTAGGATTACAAGCATGTGCCATGGCAGCCAGCTATGCATCCTTCCTCCTGATTGCTCAGCAGAATGGAGCTCTTGGGGTCCACAGCACCTCTCTCTGAGTGAGGGTAGTCTTCTGAGGCTTTGTTTATATCCCACTCATCCTCTCTGGCTAAAACCCAAACACAGAAAATCCAGTTACTAAACAAACTGTTAAACTTTCGGATGCTGTTTTTCAAGAGGTTCTACAAATTCCTTAGTACGGCTGAGCACAAATAGCGCTCGTGTGGACTGTCCTTAGGAGGCCATCCCCAGTGGGGAATTTTATCAGTGCAGAGCAAAAACAAATGACCAGCAGAGATTTCTTTGGAGAACTCTGTGCACATGTATGCTGTGTCTTTCATAAAGCAGGACTAATAAATAATTCTTTTGCCAATGCTAATTTATTTTTGTGTCTGGAAAGGTAACAACAGAGACAGAGGATTATATTTTTCTTGTTTGGAACAACTGTAGCTTTCAAATGTGTTTGTAATGATCTGCTACCAAAATCTCTGCCCAAGAACCTCAGCCTGGGTGACAGAATGCTATTTCTTTTCGAGGCTTAAGTGCTTAGTTGTTTTCCTTTGCAGACTCAATTCCATGAACCTTTTCTTATGATGTCATTAGGAGCCGTCCAAGCTCTGGAAAGAGTGACCGTTGTTTAGATTTTTCCAGTATTCTGCTGCACGGGGTTTGGTGGGAGCTCACGCTGCACCGGGAGGGTGTGGTCTGTAACCACCAGGTTTTCTTCCAAATATCAAGACTGTACATTCAAAAGGCCTCAAGTGAGTCCCAAGGAAGTTTGTGGTTAAGGGAAGGCATTAATATAGTCTTTTAAAGCTGATTAGCTGGCAAAAATTCACAAACACTAATTCTCCTCTCCTATTCCCTGACAACTAACTGTAAGACCAGTAATTGGCAGTAAAATCAATGAAACCACTCCCCTAGTCTCCCAAATGTCCTGTGATTCCCTCAGGTTTAGCTCCAAAAATAAGAGTGAAAGAGATCAATGTACTTTACCTCAAGCTCTTGGCATATAACCTTTGTTGCTTGGCCTACGGATCACTCTCAAACCATGAATTAACCTCTCTTAGTCCATCTTTCACTCTCCAGAAGGGCCATATTCCAGGGTAGAGGGGATATATTTTATGGACTATGTACAGACCTTCCCAGAGTCATGCTTACCTGTAGTAATTTCCATGGGAAGAAGAAATATTAGTGGCACCATCTCAGCCAACTCAACTTGGCAAGTTCTTCTCTATCCATCATACCCTCAGCCCATGTGTCCACTGTTCTGAGATGCCACCCCAATTCTTTCAAGAGGAATTCATACCTAACACACTTCCATTGCAGAATTTACATTGAATTCCCTTATTGATTTTTCTCCCCACTAGCTATAAGCTCAAGGAAGACAGTTTATATCCTCTGCCCAGGACCCTCCTGCTGCAAACATTGTGCCATGTTTGTGGTGATAAATGTTTTCCAAGTGATGGTGGCCCTGCTGGTGAGTCATCCTTGCATTTTCCTGGCCTTCTGCACATTCTTAAGAATAAGAACAATCAAGGCCACTCTGCAGAAGTTTTAGAGAAAGGCTTTTGTGATTCTCTTATATTGAATCATCACCAGCTATCTTCAAGGCCATAAGTGTATCACTGAATTTCAGAAGCATCTGCTCTGCCTCTTCTCTGACAATGACCCACAGTGTGTATGGAATCCACTGTGCAGTAGCTGAGCCCAGCTTTAGTAAATAATTGTGCTCAGAGGTTCCACAAGAACCGGTTCTCTGAGCTGCTGAATAGGTCTCAGAGTCCTACCCTCATTTAGAAGGAGAAGCAGAATCTCAGTATTCTTCCAGAACTTCATTCATCATCTCTCCACCTCCTCACAGCTGAGCACTAGCTGCCTTGATTAAATACATACGCTTTGACAAGCCATTGATCCTCTCACTCACCTCAAATGCCTCGAACGCTTATTATGTGCCAGACATCATGCTAGACTCCAAGAATTCAGCAGGGGTATCAGGACTAGGCATGGTCCCGATTCACGGGCAGCAAGAAAACCAGACTTTAAACAAATCCATTTCACAATTGACTCATTAACTGTAAGTATAATAAGTGTCTTGGTTTACTCAGGCCACTATAGCAGAATACCTTAAATGACTGATAAACAATAGAAATTTTCTTCTCACAGCCCTGGAGGCCAGAAGACCAAACCCAAGGTACCAGTAGACTGTGTGTCCGATGATGGCCCACTTCTCAGTGTATAGACATTGTCTCTTCACAGTGGCCTCACAGGGTGGAAAGAGCCAATAAACTCTCTGGCACCTCCTTTAAGGGCACAGTCCCATTCCTGAGGCTGTGCCTTATGACCTGGCCAGCTCTCAAAGATCTCACATCTAAAAAGCATTACTTAGGAATCAGGTTTGGGAGGAACCCGAGCATTCATAACATTTATTGCAGCATTCAGTCTGTGTGCTAACTCCCCTCCGAGAAAAGGAGTTATATACCACAAGCAAGTACAACAACAGGGCAGCGGGCAGAAGGTAGGCCAGTAAAGTGTTGAAACTGAGACAGGAAGGAGGAGGTGAGTGGCGCAGCGGTCAGGGAAGCCACCCTTAGGACAGCTTCCACCTAGGCAGACGCCTGGTATAGCACAAAGGCATCCCTAGGAGCAATGTAGAAGGACCAGTATCTTAGTTACTTTTCTCTCATTGCTGAGACAAACTACCTGATACCTAAAATTAAGGAAGGACAGGTTTATTTAGCTTACAGTCTGTGGAGATTTCAGTCCATGCTCAGCTGGCTCCAAGGGAGAGTAGCATATAGCAGAAGGCAAGAGTTCATGGTAGTGGAAAACAGCAAAGTAACAAGAGCAAAAGGGAGGAGTGGCAGCAAGCAGCCTCTTTCTTTCTCTTACATATGCAAAACTATCCACCTCAGGACAGTGTAGCACTCACTCCCATGATCCCAGCATTAGACTAATGATCAATCAAAAATCTAGAAGTCCACTTCACGATTGCATGAGAATTTGGGGGGAACGTGCGACACAAACCGTAACAACCACCTTGTGCAGTTGGGGAGAGACTGTGTGGCACTAGAACAGAAAGAGCTTTCTAGCCAACCACTGACTAGGAGTGAGTGAAAGGAAAACAACAGGCTCCCAAGGAACTGCATACAAGGGAATAAGGACACTTTGTGGGATTAAAACCCAGGCCAAATCCAAGCTCTTTTTCATGAGTTGAGACAGTCTCTTCTCTACTTTTCCCTCCCTCCTTCTTTTCTTCCCTCCTTCCATCATTCTCTTCCTCCTCCCTCCTTCTCTCTGTCTTACTTCTGTCTCTTCTTCGCCAAGTCTCTTCTTCAGCTTTGAAATGATCCAGTAAGGCAGCCAAACCCCCTCTGCCAACCAGTTTCAATCTTTGGTTTTTCAGAGAAGTTCAATGGCTAAAGAGAGTAAATCTGACTGAAGACTGGCCATTTAACAGAATGAGTCAGGTGCCCATGTACTAGACGTGTGCTAGAAATCTTTGCCACACAAAATTGGCAAATCAGTTCATATTCCATATGACCTATGCAGAGTTCTACCACCAGAAATAGGGACGGCAGATATAAGCAAATCAGCCCAGCATACTACTGGCCATAGAAATTGGTTCAGAGTATGTACACAAATTAGACTTTGGATAGGAATCCTAGGACACACAACTCTTGATCTTTCCAGGACATCTCAAGGGGAAATACTCATTTTTCCTGTAGATAATGGGGTATGACATTGTAAGATACAGATCTTAAGCAACATTTTTGCAACATTAGTAGAGATCATGGAACCAGTCCAGAGGAGCCAAAACCAAGATTTTCAAGAAAAACTTATTGGAGGTAACGTCATCTGAGCTGTGATTCCAGCTTTGCTTAAAGTGGACTGTTCCCCAAGACCTATCCAAGCCAATCAATTTCTTTATGTTGTTTGGGCCAGTTTGAGTTGGATTTCTAGACAAACAGATTTGGTTTGCTCCTCACTCCACTGATTGTGGAGTGGGGTTTGGGAGAACAATTTCCTGTTCCATGTGGGAAATGCTTCTTTGATAAGGTGATCAATCCAAAGTATGTTCCTGGCACCATAACAGTTAAGAGGTATAGCAAACAAATAGCATGGCTCAAGCATGCTGGTCTGAGCAGCTGAATTCATAAGTATGGGAGGTAAAAAGCAGAGGTCAGCTCTAATAATAAATTGTTCTATCTTCTTTTCTGAAGAATTTTAATTTCATTTTTCATCACTTCATTAATTTTCTCAATTCTTCTTGAAAACAGAAAGTATTCTTCTTAGAGACAGCCACAGGCTATGTTTGAAACATCTCAAATGAGCTCCTTTTGAATTATTCATGTGAGAAAATCTCAATAGATATCCAGAAATAGGAAGTCTTTCTGTTTCCATAACTTAAAAACAACTTGACTGCATTTTGCTAAAAAGAAAAACTCTTTAACCCGAGTCCAGATTGGACAAATATCACCTCCTTTTCCTTCCCACAAGGCAAATTTGCTGGAGAAAACTGGCAGTGAAATAGAACTGTGGTAAACATTTGCCTCCTTCCTAGTGTATGTGTATGCATTTGTGTCTTACCTCTTAGAGATTATAAATAACTAGAAGTCAGGGACATTTTTAGATAAATAACTTGCCTGAACATTTTTTCTGGCACAATTTCATAATATCTGGGCAAATCTCATTAGTGGAAAATGTGATCATAACTCCGGGCCCTGATACAAAAATTTACTATGCAAATCAACACTCTACTTAGTCTTCTATTTACTCCTTTGCTTTCCAAGGAACGAAAATTCCCAAAGTTTGTATCCAAAGAAATGGAAAACATGTACATCGAGGAGCTGAAGTCCTCCGTCAACCTGCTCATGGCCAACTTGGAGAGCATGCCGGTGTCGAAGGGCGGCGAGTTCAAGCTCCAGAAACTGAAACGCAGCCACAACGCTTCCATCATCGACATGGGCGAGGAGAGCGAGAACCAGCTCTCCAAGTCTGACGTCGTGCTGTCTTTCTCTTTGGAGGTAAAAAGCCCTAAACCCTTGAAAGCTTCCGGGAGCAGCAAGCAGGACAGGAGTGATTAGATGCATCACAATCAGTCTGTTTCCCCCCTTTACACCCCTGGGGCAGTTCTTAAAATAACTGCTTGTTAAGCATAGGTCAGCTAATCAGCAAGTGATTCCCCCTCCGCAGGAACCCACGTTTTTCCTAAGGAAGTGCAATCTTAAGAACCACCTACTGAATGCAATCGTGGATTGCTTTTCCTGTCTTAAAACAGTGCTCAAGGATTTGTGGAGACCTTATGCAATTCAGAAAGCTTCTAATTTTGCCAACCTGTGTTACAGTTAGAAGAGAGGCGATCCAGCATGATTTTGCGGTACATTGCAAATTTTCTTTCCCATCATCTTTCCTGTTGGCTACACTGTAGAGTCCCTTGTTGGAGTAGCTCCTTTCTTGAATTTATCTCTGCACTTACAGTAAGAACACATTCGGGCCAGAATTGCAGCAGAATGTTCAACATGTCCATACATTTCTGTATAATTTCCCTTCATACATTTGTTTTTCATGTATGAATGCTAAGAAAAGTTTCTAATCTACCTCTATCTGAATTACATGGGAAGCTGGCTCAGGAAGATTTCTAGACACCACCCAGACTGGATGAACCAGAGTCTTTAGCTGATGAGAGCAGAACCTGGTGCAACCACTTTGGAAATTAAGTTAGCAGTTTCTCAAAGAATTCAAAATGACAGCACCAGGGGATCCAGCAATCGCACTCTTAGATATCTACTCAGTAGAAAAGAAAGCACTGTCCCCACAGAGCCTTGGCTGCAAATATTTATAGCAGTATTGTTCACAATACCTAAAAACAGTAGCAGCCTGAATGCACATCAACTGGCGAATGCTAGGCAAAGTGTGACCCATCTGTAGAGCAGAGTGTAATCCAGCAAGTGGCTGTGGATGCAGGCCGTGGCATGGATGAACTTCAGAAATACTGTCTCAACACAAGAAGCCAGGCAAAAAATATGAAATTCCTGAAGGCAAACTGCAGGACAAAAACTGGATTAGTGTTGCCTGGGGCTGGGGGTGGGACAGAAACATAAGAGCCTCTCTGGAGGAGATAAAAACTCCTAAAACCAAGAGAAAGAAATTCCTGAAACAGCTTTATGATCATGGTCAAACAATGTGGTAAACTTACTAAAAATCATGGAATTATATATATATTACTGAATTATATACCTAAAACAGGTTAATTATATATCTAAAATGGGTTACGTAGCACTGAATTACATATCTAAAATAGGTTAATTATAGTTAATTAATTACATATATGAGGTATCTCTCAAAAAGTTGTCCAAAAAACAAAGAAATTCTACTCAAAGTGAAGCCCTGGAATGGGTCCTATAACAGACTACTCAGGTCCTTCTTATGTACTCTAGAGATTGAGGACCAATTAAACTTACCAAAGTTCAAAACACCACAGAATTTTAAAAGCTTTTTTTAAAAAACTGATACACACTTATACAGTATCATATGTTTCAGTGCATATATACATACATTGTGTAGTGTTCAAAACGTGGTTAACCTATTTCCTCAAACATGTATTATTTCTTCATGGTAAGAACATGCAAAATCCTCTCTTTTAGCTTTTTTAAAATTATACAGTACAAACCCACAAATATTTTATGATGACCCTAGGTTTGGGGAGATCAAGAGAATAGATCAAACTTCTATACATTTAATTAGACTGTGTAAAGACTAAATTTTCTAGAACAGCATTAAGGATTGTTGCAGATTAACTGCAGGTAATGTGTTCATCTGTGCTCAGTTCAGATGAGATACTGACATCACACTATTTCAACATGTGCTATGCAGTAGGAAAAGGTGGTATTCAATTAAATATAGAACACTTGGTGTGTGAAAACTCATCAGCGTAATTTCACAGAAACTTTCTTTTAAAAAAAAATACTGCCACTGAGGTACTGAATGCTTTTGCTCAGGTGTCTTTGAATATTATTATTGCCAATTAAAGGTGGCAATTTATTCCCTACTGCCTCTTGTCTTCCTATAGACATGAGAAAAAGATAGTTTATTGGCTTTTATGAAGTTGTTAAGTCTGTAATTTTCAAATTCTTTATCAGTACTCAATATCGTACAGCTGATTATTTGAAATATAGGTGTGGGCAAGACCTCAACCATATTCCCATAGATACATTATTTGAACAGCTTTGACTTGTAATTACAAGTTCAGAGTGAGATACCCCAGGGCTCCCAAATATTTTGTAACTGGAACACTAAATTGCACATCATAGTAAAACTGCCAGCAAAGACCACTGCACTTCTATTTTTGAAAGTGCTTTGAGTGCACAGTGACAGAGAAAAATGGGAGGAAGACAGGGTCCAGTTGCCTCATCAGGGCAGACTAGGATTTGAATTCATGGGTTGGTATGTGTCTTATTTTATGTCACCGTAAATCACACCGCTGGAAGGGACACCAGAGAGCAGGTGACCTTACAGCAGGAGACAGGCGTCCCGGAGGCCTAGTGACATTGCATTGGCCAAGGGGAGCATGCTGATGAGAAGATCGGGTGTTTTGGGGGTGCTGTAACTGTGGATCCTCACCTCAGTCCTCCGAGGTATTCCCAGGTGTGGAAACAAAGTTTTACAGAGGTTGATACACTCACAAAGGATTACACAATGAAGAGTGAGAATCAGATTCTGAGTTAAGTTCTTTCAAATGCCCCAGATAGGCGTCTTTTCCAGGGTGCCTTCTATTTCTTTCTTTTTTTTTTTTTGGTTTTGTTTTGTTTTTTTCTGGTACCGGGAATCAAACTCATGACCTTGCACTTGCCGGGCAGGTGCTGTGCCGCTGAGCTAAATCCCCAGCCCCTCCATTTCTTTCCATAGGCATGGTTCTTCCCCGGTATAAACTTTTACAATTTTGTATATCATCTCTTTGGGTCCTCCTACAAGAGCCACAAGATATGTCATTACTCTACACACACACACACACACACACACACACACACACACACATACACACACACAAAGTTTACAGGTGAGAAAACTGAGGCTTTAAAAATTTGAAAGAAAAATGAAGTGACTTTAACGTTAAGTCATTTGCCCAACATCATGAGTTGCCTCAAAACATGGCTCCTGGGCCAGCGACAACGGGCATCACCAGGGAAACTGTGGAACATGAGAAGTCCTGGAATCCACCCAACCTACTGACCAGAAACTCTAGAGGCAGAGTGGAGAAGTCTCTGGGTTAAGAAGTCGTACAAGTGATTGCAATTCACACAAAGTTGGAGAAACTGTGGGCTACTGCACAGCAAAATTGTGACTTGCACTCCTCTATTGTCTTTCCTTGACTCCGGCCCAGTAAGGAAGTATACATTTTTCACATACCTATGTCTTTGTCCCTTTGATGCTGCTACAGTGTAAGGATCCCATCTTCATGCTAGACTGACTCTGGCATGACTAGTAAAAAGCCATCAGATACCTTTTGTCCTTCTCTGTGACTTCCCATCTGTTTATTTTCCTCTGAGTTGTACTGCCCACCAGCACCAGGAATGACCTCTATTTTGTGTGGTTCTGTTTTCAGGTGGTGATCATGGAGGTCCAAGGCCTTAAGTCCTTGGCTCCGAATCGCATTGTGTATTGCACAATGGAGGTAGAAGGGGGAGAGAAACTGCAAACGGACCAGGCCGAGGCTTCCAAACCAACGTAAGTGCTTTTTCTCCACAGAACATCTGGCAGGGGGTGTTGCCCTCAGTCCTGCCGTGGCTGTCTCCAAGACAAAGGTCTGGTTTCCCCAAAACAGGGAGACATACACTGCCTGTGTTTGTATCATCTTGACTTGGCAGCCATAGCAAGGGTTCCAGTTCCTTCAAAGCTGAGAACAGGACATAGAAGCAATAGTCTCCTTTTCAGAGGCAGGAGAACTTGATATAAATTTGTTGTGTTTTATTTTTCCAAGTAATACTTGGGTAACAGTAAAAGAGAATTTTTTTTCAAAGTCTTTCTCTATGTGCCTCAGCATTTATTAGCAAAGCAGTATATTCCCTTGATCACAGTGTGTTAATTCACGTGGTCTGTATAGTTTCAAGGGCTCCCAGTGCATGTGCCAAAGGAGTGTGTAGCACAGTGGAATCAGGAGTATTCACTGCTCCATCCTATGGAGCTTTTCACTCAGTTTACATCACAGGTGAGTGGTCAGATCAGAAAAATACTCCCACAAATGTGTAATTGTGAATACAGTCAGAACTCCAGGACTGTGGGTACTGTACCTCAGAACCAACCAATCGTGGATTGAAAGTTTTCAGGAAAAACCATGTGACTGGATGCAACATGTACTTTTTTCTTATTCTCTCCTAAACAGTATGGTATAATAACTATCTCTATAGCATTTACGTTACACTGGGTTTTATAAGAAACCATAAAATTATTCAAAGTATACAGGATATGCGTAGATTACCTGCCAACACCACACCATTTTAGACAAAGGACTTGAGCAATTTTCCTGTGGGTGCCAAGAGACAGCAATGATTACAAATGCTGAGGAAGGTTTGAGGAGAGGAAGCAGGAGGCCCTGAATCAGCTTGTAAGGACAGAGTCAGAATAGTCTCCTCAGGACACATGAGACGCTTGATCTAATTTAAAATTTGAGGACTGGGGTATGGGAGAGTGAAGAGCTCAGACAAAGGCCCTGTGATCAGCTATGGCCCATGGCAAGTAGGATTCAAAGGCCAGTGGAACTGGAGTTGGGGAACAGGGGTTTCCTTGGCTGCCATCAAGGTAGGCAGAGGCCGATCCAGAGGGCCACCTTGGGTCACAGAGGGGACCACACTGAAAGACTCGGTTGGACATGTGTGTAGAAAAGGTCATTCTGGGTGCGGGGGAAGGGATCAGAGTGGACTCAGGATCCTGGAGCAGTGGGCGGCAGGAGCAGTGGAGGTTCTGTTTCAGTCAACACACTCTCAGGCCTCTGAGATTCATGAAAGATCACTGCTGCCTTCCTTCCTTCCCCACTGCCTCCGACCCTTCCTCCCCTACCTCTGTTAAGCCACCCTAGACTAATGAGCATCGTTTTTGTTGGTGCTAATTCAAAAGAGAGACATCAAAAGGGTGACCACTCAGCACCTCCCCTCCTCTAGAGCATTAAGAGCTGTTTGGCAGAACATGAATAACTCACCAAGATGTTCAAACAGAATAGTTCAAAGGAAGCACTGAACGTCTCCTGGACCGGAGAGGAGCTCAGGGTATTGTGTGCCTCCAAGTGGCTTCTTCGCATCAATAGGCAAAGCCTGCAAAACCCAGGAGCTGGGCAAAGTTAATGAGTGTGTGCGGGAGGAAATGGAGACCAGAGCAACTCGTGGCTCACACCCTCCCTCCTCTTTGCACACTCAGTTCCACACTCGCAGTTAATGCAGTCTCTTTTTCACTGCCATGGAAATTCCAATTTTTCCTCAAATGGCCTGGTCATTATCAAGGCTGTTATGCTAAACTGCACCATTTATATGTGCTTTTCAAAAAGCGTGATGTGTAAGGGGAAAAAGAACCTACTTAGTGTTTCTGCCAGCCTTTCGTAAGTTTGGGCCTCGGATGGTGTCATTAGATAGAAGAGGAGGTGAAAGCTCTGGTTGGCCTAACAGACTGTTCTTCCATGTGAGTTAGTTTAACTCAGTAGGTAATGCATATCGTCTTGAGTGTAAAGACTTCAGTCTTCAGAAGTAATGAGTTGATTTTCCTGTGTTCATGAATGTTTAAAACAGAGTTTCACATTACAACTAAGTGCAGAATGATCGGTGTACCTGCTTGAAATACTCATATTTTATATGTGTTTACTCATATCCATACCTGTGCATTATGATATCCATTCATCTCACATTGAAATATGTTGCTGTTCTAGCCAGAAGCATACTTTTTAGTGCTCTTCCACCAGTGTATGTTACTAAAACCCACAGGAGGGTTTTTGATCTGTTTGTGACAAATGCAAGTTTCATGACCAGGATTGAATGGCCTCACCTAGTAGTGGGTATCTAGAATGATCTGTTCAGAAGGCTTCCACGGTTGAGTCTGTGTACAGAGGAAAGATGGGCATGATCCATGTGTAATGTCTGGGAGGGGAAAGGATCCAAGTGCCCCACATGAAACCCAGAATCTGAGCCCTAACGACACTCGTGTTTCTTCCTGTCTCTTTCTCGATCCTTTAGATGTAGATTCTTCTTGTAAACCTTTACTCCTCTTCGTTGCAGATGCATAGTGCCCTCCCAGCCCTCCTCCCAGTGCCCTTTGCTTTGTCATACTCCGGTTCGGGCAGCTGCCTCTGCCCTCACTGTCACTTGGTAGGATAAATTGCGCTGTAAATACCGGTCCATTTTCTTCCTGCTTCCTGCATTTTGACTTACTTGGAATCCTCTCCATCATTTCTTTTGTTTGAAACTTTTACTCCTTCTCCATTTTCTCCTCCTACACCCACCTTTCTCCCATGACTAATCTCTAGCCATCCTTTCCACTACTTGGTTTTGATTTCCCCAGAAAGTACGCTTTCCAGGGTTGTCTTTCACTGTTCTCATAACTCCTCTATCGTCTAACAAGGGTCGCCCTTTTCCTGTCCTCCGCATCTTCTGAATCTTGTTTGTGACTGTTCTTACAGACAGCTGGTGCCGGGACTTTACTTTTCTTTTCTCAAACCAAAATTCCGTCCATCTGTTTTGTTCATTACTCACAAACTCTACTGTTGCTGCTACTGTCACTCAGTCAGTCCCACCCCGCCTATCATGGGTCTTCAAGGAGTCTGGCTTTGTCTGTCTTTGTCTGTCTTATGTGACAAGCATAGTCACAAATCCGGGAGTACCCAGTTTGCCCAAGAGTATGATCCTTGGAAAGCTAATGTACAGAACAGTGGTGGTGCATCTATGGCACGTATGCCATAATAAGAGGTTTAAAAGCTCTAAGAGGTTCGCCGTCACTGTCACAGAATATGAAGTATGATAAAACATACGATGCAGATTTAAATCAAGACAATCATCATTAGTCTCCCTCAGAGTCCTCCCCTCATTCAAGCGGTTATCCCATCTGTCCTGCCACTGTCTGTAACAGTTCTGGATGTTCTCTTTCATAAGTGTCTTTAGTTGTGCTGTCATAGATGCTTCAGTGTCCTGAAATCAATTTAAAGTATTCACCCTTCATGGCCTTTTCTTACCTTGGGGAAGAGCTAGAAGTTTCATGCTGCCAGATCTGGTGAATAAGGTGCATAAGGATGGACTATGATGGTTTCATTTGACAGAAATTGCTATAAACATTTTGAATTTATTCAGGTGGATGAGGTAGCCACCAAAACACACTAAAAAAAAGCAGACTCCCAAAACTACTTCAGAAAATGACAATAGCAATGTGATGGGTGTGTTCAAAGCCAGAGGGAATATTTTGAGAAGAATTAATGGCAACGTGTCTTTTGCTATAATAAATTTCCTTATTTAAGCAATCCTTGTATTTTTAATCATACCATACATGCAAAGAAAACAGCTAAAGAGACTAGTACCATGATCAAGTGAGTTTAGGAAGTGCAAGACATTACATCTCTCTCTGAGTTAGTCATAGGATATATTGCATTTTAAAAGTCTTGAGACTTCCAACAATAAATAAATCTGTTTAGCTTCATTTAAAATTAAACAACTTCCCCTAATTTATTTTAACTGATACCTACGAACCTCTTTTGAAAATCCCATTCTACATTGTCCAAACCTAATAATGGAGAACTCCCTCACCTGTATTTATCAAAGACATTCTTTCCTTTACACCGGAGCCCTGCCTAGCATGGTTACATTGGATCTGGTGCATAATATGCATGTTCCATGTTCATGGATTAAATATAGTTGGAAAGTTGGAAAGACATGATAGATGAGGTGGTCTTTTAAGTATAAATTACTAAATTTAAGTATAATTCAAGTATACATCATCTAAATTATGTCTCCAACCCTCCCTCCATCCTGTAATCTGTTTGCTACACATGGGTTATTTCCAAACTGTATTTCCTCTCAGGTTTGTATTCCTCCTACCCTGGGTCTCTAACATGAACAATCCAGAGAATGTATGAGCGAAGTTTCCATGAACTATTCTTACTAAAAGTCATTGCCTCCCTTTGCATCCCACTGTCTCTGCTTCTGGAAAGCATGGGGGTGCTGAGGCAGAAGGCTCTGAAAGCTTGTTAGCAGGTGAGTTCTTCTTGGGGAAGTGTGGATTGGGGACAAGGAGATTCTTAGTGACTTCAAGAAGCCAGGTGTATTTGCCCAGCTCTCTGAGATAAAGCAGTTGACCGTTCTTGCCATAGGTGATTATTTGTCAAATGAAGCATTCCCACCTCTGCTGATAGCAGAGATGATGTTAGACATTGTCAAGATGGCATTAAGCAACATCAGGTCAAGTGCAAAGGAAGCGTCTCCTTTTCCACATAATTTTCATTTCTTCAGTTTGGTATTAGAAGGTGTCTAACACTTCCTCAGACCCCAGAGGCAGAGCCTACTTTTCTCCAATTTATTTTTTTATCAGTACATGTTTGTAGTACCTAATGATTACATTCCTAATGAGTACATTCCTTTGGAGAGTTGGGACAAGTCTACAGCACATCTGAGTTCTGTTTTTCATCCCCTTTGTTTCCTCCTCCCTCCTCTCTCTCATTTCTTGGTCCCCTTTGCAAAAGACCTATCCACATTTCCTACTAT